AGCGGGGAGTCTGCTTCTCCCTCTGACCCTCCCCCCCTCTCATGTGTTCTCTCTCTCTCTCTCAAATAAATAAATAAAATCTTTAAAAAAAAAAAAAGAAAGTGAAAAGACAGTCTACATAATGGGTGAAAATATTTGCAAATCATCTATCTATAAAGGTCTAGGACCCAAAATACATAAAGAACTCTTACAACTCAACAACAAGAGAAACCACCCAATTAAAAGATTGGCAAAGGACTTAAAAAGACTCTTTTCCAAAGAAGATTACAAATGGCAAAGTACATTAAAAAATGTTCAATGTCACTAAGGAAATGCAAATCAAAACCATAATGACATATCACTTCATATATATTTAGATAGCTATAATAAAACAACACATAAAAACAAAAACCAAAACCAAACAAAAAATAAGTGTTGGAGAGAATGTGGAAAAACTGGAACCCTCATACATTGTTGATGGGAATGTAAAATGATGTAGCTGCTACAGAAAACTGCTGTGGCAGTTCTTCAAAAAATTACACACAGAATTACCGTATGATCCAGCAATTCCACTTGTAGGTATATATCAAAAAAATTTTTATTTTATTTTTAAAGATTTTATTTATTTATCCAACAGAGAGAGACACAGCAAGAGAGGGAACACAAGCAGGGGGAGTGGAAGAGGGAGAAGCAGGCTCCCCGGAGCAGGGAGCCCGACGTGGGGCTCGATCCCAGGACCCTGGGATCATGACCTGAGCCGAAGGCAGACGCTTAACGACTGAGCCACCCAGACGCCCCTATCCAAAAAAATTTTAAACATATATTTTAACAAAAATTTGTGTACAAATGTTCACAGTAGCACTAATCATAATAGCCAAAAGACTGAAACAACCCAAATGTCTGTTAAGAGATGAATGGATAAATTGCAATATATCCATACAACGAAATATTATTCAGTCATAAAGAGGAATGAAGTACTGATATGTACTACAACATGGATGAACCTGAAAACATGCTAAGTGAAAGAAGCCAGGCATAAAAGGTTACATACTATATGATTCCATTTATATGAAAAACTCAGAACAGGTAAATCCATAGAGACAGAAAGCAGATTAGTGGTTCCCAGGGGTTTAAGGGAGGAGTGAGTGGGGAATGAAAACTTGATGAATACAGGGTTTCCTCTTGGGGTGATGAAATGTTTTGGAACTAGACAGAGAGTGATGGCTGCACAACACCATGAATTTACTACATGCCATTGAATTGTATACCTTAAAATGGCCCGTTCTAGGTTATGTGAATTTTATCTCAATTTTTAAAAATGGGCTAGGTGCTAGGTGGGTGAAATAATGTTTGAGATTTGTTTTCAAAGTACTCTAGTGAAAATAAAAGGTAGGGAAGGGAGGGATGGATGAAATAAGACAGGCAAAATGTTGATAATGGATGATGGGTGACAGGTGCTTAGGGGTTTATTATATTAATCTTTCTACTCTCACTTATGGTTGAAATATTTCATCATAAAGTTTTAAAATGTCAGACAAGATGGCTACTGCATTATTCGTAATGGGGAAAAACTGGAGACAACCTGAATGACCACCCAAAGGGCAATGGTGAACTATACTGTGGCATACCCACATACAGAATACTCTGTAAGAGGGAGGGCTATATACACTGACACGGAAAAATGTCTTTGATATATTACTGAGGAAAAAAAAAAGACCCAAGTTGCAAACAGCATGTTTACTATAAATCTAAGTTTAGAAAAAAAAACAAAACTAATGGGCATGTGTATACATCTATATGAATACAGAAAAAGATCTAAGACCCAGACCCAACAAACTAATAAGTTTCATCAGGGAAGTGGAACTAGGAGGGGAAAAATCGGGTTAGGGTATATTTCACTTTTTACTTTACACTGCTGTTATTTTTTTACTTTAAAAGTGTATTAACGTAATTTTTTCAAATTATGTTTTTTAATAACCAAAATTTTGACTGTGGGCTTAAGGCAGGTATTTCCAGTTACCTCCCAAACAGCCACTCCCCACCTTCTTAAGGCTAACAGAGCCTTAATTTTGTTCAGAAATTGGGTGCCCATGTGCTCCTCAGTTCCAGGTGTGAATGTAGTATAATAGTCTATCGAGCCTGTTCATTTCATTCCCCTTGTTAATGTCCGGTTTAGGCAGGAGCATGTGATACAAAGTGTATTGAGAACCTCTCAGAACTGTTTTCCTTGCTCTTTAAGAAGGAAAGGAAGCTTGGAGCATCTGGGTGGCTCAGTCAGTCAAGCATCAGACCCTTGATTTCGGCTCCAGCCATGATCTCAGGGTTGTGAGATCAAGCCCCAAGTCGGGCTCTGCACTCAGTGGGGGACTGGCTTCAGATTCTCTCTCCCTTTGCCCTTCCCCCACCCCACTTGCTCTCTCGGGGGCGGGGGGAGGGTGGGGGGAATGAAGGAAGGGAAGCTTAAGAATCTCTTTCCTTTAGATGATGTTGGGTATGATGTATGGACTTGCTGTAGCTAACTTACACCTGTGATGGAAAAACCAAAAAAATCAGAGAAGCTGACCTGGTGTCCTGGAATCAGTGAGGCTGGAATTAACCAAGCCTGGACTTGTTCTGCCTCCACACTTCCTATTATGTGAGACAGTAAACTCCCTTATTGCTGATGTTACTTTTCCCTGGGTTTTCGATACCTGCAAACAAAAGCATCCTAACCCAATACAGTTTTCTTCCTGGCCAGAATAAGAGCTTTAATTTTGTACACGTTTAACTTCTATTTAACTTCTATCACTTTTCCAAAAAGGTTTTAAGGTTAAACAAAAGACTATGAGATGGTTAGCAAAGGACAGAATCGTAATAGCATGGAATGTCAGGATCAAGGACAAAGGAAGAAAGAACACCACAGTCCTCAAGTTTAAGAAGGCTGCTGGCTAAGTACCTGTTCCAGGTATGCAACAGTCATATCAAGTCTTATGGGGATCAAGCATCAGAGTCAGTGTGTAAAAAGTTTGCTGCATTAGGTATTATTCACCTTCACCCCCACTACCACCATTTTATTATGAAAATTTTCAAACATATAAAGAAGTTGAAACAACTTTACAGTGAATATCCATATGACCATTACTGAGATTCTACCATTACTTTTTCACATATCCACCTATTCTATCTACCAATCAATTTATCTTAATATTTGATGCATTTCAAAGTAAGCTGCAGATATGGGTACACTTACCCTAACTTTAGCATTTCATTAACTAGAATTCAATTTATGATTTTTACTTTTCTTTTCAGGTAAAAGTTACATACAATGAGATACACAAACCTTAACTGAATTACCTTTACTGAATTATGACAAATACATAACCCAAACCCCTATCAAGATAGAGAACAATTACTTTTACCCCAGAATGTTCCCTCTTGCCCGTTCCCAGTCATACCTTCACTTTTTAGACTGGTACATGGAAGCTCCTATGGAAAAAGGAAAAAAAGACAACAGTAACTTCTTTAGGAATAAATGAAACAACTCAACTATAGTATAATGCTAAATATAACATGTATATCCTAAATATCCTGTACTTCTCTGGCAGCCACTTATTTACCAACTTTACCCATCTGGGACTAGGTTAGCTCAGCCTCTATATTAATATGCTTTATTCATAACAGGGCCCCAGGTTTACTGACACTTCATGCAAATATCATTGTAACAATCTTTGTGGTCTGGTCTCCTAATTTAAAGTAGATTAGGAATTATAATATCTGAATAGAAAGAGGGGTGGCTAAAGGTATACAAAGCAAAGAAAAATAACTTCCTGGCAAGAGATTTATTTATCTAGAAAACTCACTCCAGGGGCGCCTGGGTGGCTCAGTCGGTTAAGCATCTGCCTTCAGCTCAGGTCATGATCCTGGGGTCCTGGGATAGAGCCCCTGAGTCGGGCTCCCTGCTCAGTGGGGATCTTGCTTTACCCTCTCCCTGCCCTTCCCCTACTCATGCCTTCTCTTGCTCTCTCTCTCTCAAATAAGTAAAATCTTAATAAAAAAAAAAAAAAAGGAAAAAAGAAAACTTACTTCCAATGGAAAAGCCCATTCCATTACAAAAGACATCTCATGAAAAATTTGGCTAAACAATGAGGTGATGATCAACAGTTTCAAAGAGATTTTTTACTTTGTCGAAGTTTTCAACAGAATTCATACTAATAGGGAGTGCCTCCAGCAATTTTAGAATAAAACCTATTTGCAAAAATTCTATTTACACACAGCTTTTCATGAGTACACTCACTGCCATGGGGTCCAGTATTCAAGGGAGTGAGGAAGGACAGTGAATGAGAAGCAAAAAAGCACAGAGAATGGGATTGCTGGGGAGAAAGAAGCAAACTGACAGTAGCCATTTCTAGCTCACGCATCCCAACCTGCCTGTGCTTCTTGGTCACAAAGAGCTCCTCTGGGCATTACTAAAATTGTGATCACTAAATCACAGTACTTCACAGTCTTCAAGGTCCTGTAGCTGACATGCAAAATATCTCTACTGCCCCATGTATTCTGCAGTTTTTTTCAGGAAAAAAACTGCACACACACACAACTTCTGCCACATGTAAACTGCTATATTTTTACATTTTTATTCTAAAGCTTACCTAATAAGCTAGCACCCAATTTATGGACCATATCCTCAGAACATTTGCAAGTCATCAGCTACCCAGACCTTGGGCTTGGTAGCAGTGAATGTGCACTGAAAGTGGGTCAAAGAGGACAGATCAATACTTGGTATGTTCTCCAAGTTGGATTACCCAAAGACTTCCACAGCAAGGCTCCTGCCTTTGGTTACAAGCATAGGAATGGTAAAAATGGCAAGACATCCTTTTTCTAACAAAAAGTCCAATCAAAACTGCCCCAGGCAGAAAGAAGAAATTGACAAAACAGTTGTACAGTTAAGAATTAACCTTTCTGAAAGGGCGGTCTGGCCTTTGCCATTGGCTTCTGGGAGGTTATCTCTAAGCCTTTGGAATATCATGCTTGATAGGAGTGTCACTGTTTGCCTGAGGCCTTGGGTCTTCACACAGTGTAACATAATTTAGGGTACAGGCTGGCCATACTGAAAAGTCTTAAAGTGGGGACTGGCTACACCACGAAGACCAATGATGTACTTCAGTGTGGGGCTTTGGGTCACATGGTAACCGGAGACCTCTGGTGACACTGGAGACTGAGATCAGCTACATGGGCGGTCAACCATGTGTACACAATAGAGCCTCAGTAAAAACTGAATACCCAGGCTCGGGTGACCCTTCCTGGTTGGCAATACCCCATGCATATTATCACCAACTGCTGTTGAGAAAGTAACACTGTTCCAACTCCATAGGGAGAGGACAATTAGAAGCTTCATATTTGGTATTTCTTGGACTCTGCCCTGTGTGTTTCTTCCTTTGGGTGATATTAATCTGTATCCTTCCCCTGCTGTAACCACGATTACAACAGCTTTCAGTGAGTTCTGCTGAGTCCTTTTAGTGAATTATCAAACCCTGAGGGTGGTCTTGGGGACACTGGACTTGCAGTTGGCATCAGAAGTTAGGGTGGTCCTGTGGACTATTCTAATTCAGCAGTTGTCTAAACTCTCGCAGTGGGTGTCAGAAATGAAGGTGATCTTGTGGACTGTGTTCTCTCCAACTTCTTAGTTAGCTAACTCCTTGCAATAGTGCTTTTGTCCTATACTAGCATCTAGCATTATCACACTGTATTCGGTAGAGCTATCTGTATACTTGCCTTAGCCCAATTACTGGTCTCTGAGCCTGGAGTGATACTTCCCCCCACCCCCAATACCTACCCTACAACTGGCCTCTGGTTGCTGTCAGCATACACTGGCTGGACTGAATGAATCATACATACTATGAGAGGAATAAAACATTATTATGTTATTTTGATTCCTCCCATCCCATAATCACTAATTTAAAAGGTACGGGTGGTAACAACTCTAACATTGTTTACGATTTACCTTTGTTCTGAAAGAGCATCTGCAGGAAATAACTGATGTACGAGAGCATGGTCCACAGTCTCCTTCATGGCAGAGCTTTTCGCAGGTATGAATGAAATCTTTAATAAAATGAATAAAATTTAATAAAATGAAAAGAGCTAGGAATGAACACTGCAAGTATGCATTTTCAGACTCCCAAGTTCACTAGCCACACTGGTCTTCTACTTCTATGCCCTGCAACTCCAGAATCAGAGTTGAGGGAAGAAGGATGTAGTCAATGCCTCTTCCTCTATCCTCTCTTATTCTAGCAGGCTGGGCCTTTTCTGGCAAAGAAAGGGCCTAGAATTAGTCACTGGAATATCCTGTGGAGTGCATAATGCTTTGCCTAAGTCAAAAATCAGATCTTCTGACTTCTTTCTTCAGGCGTCAAGTCTCAAGGTTAGACTTGGATATCCTTAAAATTACAGCCATGGATGACTTTACTAAAGTACTCCTGACTCTGAAAATCTGGGGATCATAAACAATCAGAAACCATGATCCATAACCTCAGACTCCAGCTCTTCAACTATCTGGTGATAAGAGGTCTGTCATTCATTCTGCTAAACCAGATTTAGGACGAATCCTGTTTCAAGGACCCTTGGGGATCAGCCACAGTCTCTTATGGCTACTGTTTAAATGTATTTTTTTCCATTCTTTTATTTTCAGCCTAATTTTATTTTTAACTCTAAAGTATATTTTCTAAAGATACCGCATAGTTGGATCGTATGCTTTATAAAAAAATTTGATTGGATAGCCTCTGCTTTTTAATAGTTTAATCCATTCACATTATTATTGATACAGTTGGATCATATCTGCCATTTATCTTTTACTTCTCTGTATCCCTCATGTCTTTTTTGTTAATCTAATCCTCTTTACTGCTTTCTTTGGCATTAAGTGAATATTTTCTAATTTAACATTTTTTTCCTTTAATGGTTATTTTTCACTATTTTTAGGGGGGGTATTTTCTTAATGGTTGTTCTAGGGCTTACCATACACATCTTATCAGAATCTACTTCAGATTTATACTAACCTAATTCCAGTGAGATACAGAAGCCTTAATCCTATGTAGTAGCTCTATTCTCTCTTCTCTTTTATGCTGTTATTGTTACACATATTATGTCTACATGTTATAAACCCCATAATACATTAATTACTTCATATAATTTTTATTAAAGCTGAGAATAGGAGAGCAAGCATACATTCAAAGTTTGTTGTTGTGTTTATCATCTTATTTACCATTTCTGGTTTTCTTCATTTGTTCCTGCAGATCTGAGTTACCATTTGGTATATCACTTCCTTACTCCAGTACAACTTTGATCCCACCCACCCCCTTTGTGCTCTTATTGTCAGATATATTTCCACATGTTATAAGCCTAATACTATAATTACATATTATCTTATACAACTGTTTTTTAAGTCAGTTGCAAAAAGAATATACATTTACACTGTCATTTAAAATTATGTAAATACCATTACTCTTTGATTTTTCATATGGATTTGAATTTATATCTGGGTTTACTTGCTTTTATCTGAAGAACTTCCTTTAGTATTTATTGTGAAGTAGATCTACTAGCAATGAATTCTCTGTTTTTATTTTCATTTCTGAAAGATAGCTCTGCTGGATAGAAGCTTCTTGGTTGGCAGTTTGTTCCCCCCCAGCATTTTGAATAGTTCATTCCAGTGTCTTCTTGTTGTGATGTACTGTTCTCCATTGTTTCTGATGAGAAGTCTGCTGTTAATCTTATAGGGGTTCCCTTGTATGTGAGGAGTCAAATTTCTCTTGCTGCTTTCAAGATTTTCTTTGTCCTTGGTTTTCAGCTTTTTAATTATGTCTAGATGTGGATCTCTTTGAATTCATCCTATTGGGTAAGTTGAGCTTCTTGGATACATAGATTAATGGTTTTCAATAAACTTGAAAGGTTTTCAGCTATTCAAATATTTTTCTGCTTTCTACTATTGTGGTATTCCCATTACATATATGCTTGTGTGCTTAAAAGTGCCCCGCATTTGTTTAGAGGTGCCGTTCACTTTTCTTTATTCTACTTTCTCTCTGCTGGGCATAAATTGCTCAGCAGTCTGATCCAGTGAAATGTGGGTAGGGGTAGTCTTTGAGTAAAGTCTGTGAAGTTTGTTCTGACCTCAGAAGGGCTCCTTTTAGCTATCTCTTTCCCTGGTTCTTTCTGCTGAACTAGCTGGCTTACAGTTTAGCTTATTGCCCTTAATTAAGAAGAGGTATTATTTTCCAAAGGGCCTTTATTTAGGTCTGAACTTCTCCAGTGTTACAAATTAAAGTCAGTTCCTTTGGGGGAATACTTTGTAGCTCTCTTTTCTTATGGACTACCTTCCCCTGCCAGGAAAAGTCTCAGTTACTCTTGGTGCTGAGTGGGACAGTAGCCTCTGGTTTTCTTGGCTTGTTTTTCCCAGTGTGGAACATCTGCTCTAAAAGTGAGCTGGGGTGAAGATGACTGGGGCCGCAATAGTCTAGCCTGTTGTGAATGGGGTAAAAACTCTGACTTATAGGTGGGCCTGTATGGAAGAGAGCCCCCAACCTCTCAGCTGTGTTTACCAGAAATTTAGCCTCTTCAACTTGGAGTTAGAGGGGATGAAAAATGCTGGCAGTCTGCTCTTCCCAGTGAGATATGGTAACCCTTGACTGGGAGCTTAGGGGTAGAGGCAGCCTCATCTTCCTGGCACACCTATCCTGAATATAGCTTTTGTTAAGCTGAGTCGGGGTGGAAGGGAGTGGACTGTGACTTAAATGACAACACAGACTTGCTGTTCTTACTGAATCTTAGATTTTCTTTAATAAAAAATACTTCTTCATTTGATGTATGCCCACAGGAACATTTCCAGAAACTTTAAATGATTGCTTTGTAATAATTTTTCCTAGCTTTGCCTGTTTTGCTGGGGAGTGGGTCCATGTAGCTCATGTTCCCATCCTGAAAGCAGAACTCTCCCTAGTGTCTTGTACTAAAGTGATCTGTCTAGGATGGAAATTCCTATTGAGTGAGCTACTAAAAAACCTCAGCAAGCTTTCTACAGGTAAGTCAGGTCTGAATAAACTTGACAGCCATTGTTCTCACTAGCCATGGGCTTGTCTTTGAGTTTCTCAATCCAACTCAGCCTAATTCCTTACAAATTTTCCATGATTAAAAATTTGTTGAGGTAACAAGTGGTTACCCTCAAACCCCTTCATCTGGTCTTGTCCCACCCCCTGGGTCTGTTTATAAAGACAGTTACTATCCTTCTCTTGCTCAAGTCCCTATGCACTACCCATTTCACGTTTCCTCCTTCTCTCATTGCCAACGTATCTTAGCCCCACAGTGGGATTTCTGGTCATCATATATGAAATTATTACAAAACTGACCCAGGAGCTTTCTGAAAAGGGAAGACCTTTACCATCCTTCTTGATATTGAAGTCATTTGATCTCCACTTTTACAGAGCTTATCTGAAGATACATTTTTACAATAGGCAAAGAGAACCAACAGACAACTGATTTTCCTAATGCACTAAAAATATGTATTAAAACATGAGAAAAGAGCATTTCTCCTCTATACAGAATTTTAAAGTCACACTGTAAAAAATAATTAGGTAGAGTGTACCTACCAGTTTCTGCTGGTACCTGGAAGAAATATGAAATCTCTCTTTTCGATAAACATGGAAACCAAACCTAAAGATTTTAGCTTTGTCAATTAGTTATAGGAACACCTCTCTTGTATAGACTCAGTTGCCCATGTCCATTTTTCTAAATACATAGCCTTTGAACACTTAGCCAGGAGAGAAGGTGCCAAGTCACTGCAAAACTATACAGGTATATTCCCCAAGGACTGCCTCAGAACATTTCAGAACTCAAACTATTACTTTAAAGCTAATTCTAACAAACTTTTTCTGGTTTCTATATCCAAGTAATCAGAAGCCACAAGTCAGGAAAAAGGGAGAGTCACTAATGGTAGGCACACAGACATACTAAAAGCAATGACAGGAAAATAAACAATCAAAACCTTTAACAAGTAGATAAAACAATTCAAACTGCACATTGGTGTAGGGAAATTGCCTGAGAAACCTTAGAAGGCCCTAAGGACATCACTGTACCCAGCATAATACAATAACTGAGGTTCAGGAAAATGATGACTCTGGGTCAATAAAGAGAAAAGAAATTATCTTCAGTAATCTCTGTTTAAAGAAAGCAAATGTAAATTTTAGAAAACTGTCCTTCCAAAATGATGCTCAGGAGGTCTTTTCCCTCAACTAGATGGGAAACTTATAGAGAAAGTATTTCCTGAATACTCCAAATGGCTAAAGTTTTATTATACCTAGCATTTTAGTTCTTAAACATCTCACCCACAGTTATTTAACATGTTCCCATTATATGAAAATGCCTTTACCCTGGACTGGTAAAAGGATATATGGTTTTCATACTACTGCAGGCTACTAAGAGAAATTGTAACCTCCCCCACTCCCCGGCACCAGCCCTGCATGGGACAGTATCTCACAACTGTCCTAAGTTGGCAATAAAATACCTAAAGCAGGAGAGATCACTTGGGCATATTTGAGTTTTCACAAGTATATTTTGAGGAGGAAAGAAAAAGTGCCAACACAAATCTGATCATTAGTATTTTCAAAAGCTTCTGATATTATAACTGAAATTGAACACTATTCTGCTTATATAGTCACTGTTGCCAAAAATTTCCATTCATATGTTTAAAGACAACTTTATGCCTACTGGTTACCTAAGGAACCACATGGCAGAGGCTTGCCGCACACTTTTCCACATGAAGGGACAGGATCCATGCATGTTTTCCGACCACTACTTCCAAGTTCTAGCAATTGGCTGAGAGGAGTTTGGCCACAAGGGCAACAGCGCACCAGGTGGGGAAGCCGTGGGCATGGCTGGCAGGGCTGAGGGTGGCACACTTGAGAACAGGTATGATTCCCACATTTCAAGTCCCTGTTAAGAAAAACAACAGACTATTACATAATTGTTGCATAAAATATGGCTTTATTCTAACTGAGAAAAACATAAAACCTTACTTGCCACATATCTTTAAACAGCCAAAGTCGCCAAATCCATCAGACTTTCCTACATCTGTTCCACATAACACATCTCGGGAAGTGCTGCCACAGTAGCATACTTGAGGACACAATTTCAAAAACAAAGGTGAGTAAACTGTATGGGTTCTTAAAATATTCCAAACAGTCTATAAGAACCTAGCACAAAATGCTACTCATTAGTGTTGATCAGACCTGATGCAGAAATAAATGTGGCTTATATAGCAGCTCTAAGACCCACCGAAAAGGCTTTATCAGAGGAAGTAAAAAAGGCCTTGTAAGACTGTCGGTATCCCATGGTGCCTCTGCAGCCGGTCCCCAAAACGGCATTAAAGTGAAGCAACCCTCTAAATTAAGAGACTACTACCTGGCCCCTAAGGCCATGACTGAGAACCATTCACCCTGAGGCTCCCTGGGGTCTCTGGAGAGGTTACAGAAGATGGAAGGAAGCTAAGCTGGTGACAGTCGTGGAGGAGCTGATGACTGAATCCCTGCCACCTTCACTCCAACCCAAGCAGCACAGATTTAGTACTTTATATACTGGGGTTCACATAAAAGGCTCACAAAAACTTTCTATTGCTAAAAAGGAATAAAAAAAAATCAGCGCAATATAAAATCCTTAATAATTTGTATACTACTACTACTGAATTTGAAGTAATCATGTTTGAGTATTCACACTGAGTAGAAAGTTCAAACAACTCAAGACTTTTATTTGCTAGATAAAGAACCTGGTCCAACATCTACAGATCTTCCTGTGGGTTCAAGAAATAATGAGTTCCTTTATTTCTTGAGGTTAGCAATAAATATGTGTTATATTTAAGGAGTTATGTTTCTGATGTATTAATATGTAACAAAGTCTGATAAGAATTAATTTTCATTGGGGCGCCTGGGTGGCTCAGTCGTTAAGCGTCTGCCTTTGGCTCAGGTCATGATCCCAGGATCCTGGGATCGAGCCCCGCATTGGGCTCCCTGCTCCGCGGGAAGCCTGCTTCTCCCTCTCCCACTCCCCCTGCTTGTGTTCCCTCTCTCGCTGTGTCTCTCTCTGTCAAATAAATAAATAAAATCTTTAAAAAAAAAATTAATTTTCATCAATTAATATAATTTTTCTAAGTGTTACTTCATGGGGCGCCTGAGTGGCTTAGTTGGTTGAGCGTCTGCCTTTGGCTCAGGTCATGATCCCAGGATCCTGGGATCGAGCCCCGCATCGGGCTCCCTGCTCCGCGGGAAGCCTGCTTCTCCCTCTCCCACTCCCCCTGCTTGTGTTCCCTCTCTCGCTGTGTCTCTCTCTGTCAAATAAATAAATAAAATCTTAAAAAAAAAAGTGTCACTTCACATTTCAATTTATAATAAAAATTTATCCTGTTAAAATCAATCTGTGCAAATATACTTGGCCCTACATAATAAATGGAGACCAAAAGAGTAGAAACTAAATTGAAATCTTGCAGACCTAATGATGCTTTCCTTCTTTCTCAGTACAACTTAGATATCTACTTGCACAGAAAATCAACATCAAAATAAATGCAACATTATAAAAACATCAAATCTTAAATCACGTATTCAGTAAAAAATAAAATAGAATACTTCTAACTTCAAACATTAGAAATAATGTTTATAAATAAAACGAACAGACCAAAAACTTTCAATGAGACACGAGAAGGGGGAAAGTCTCAAATCAATAAAAGCCCTAACCAAGACTTTTGATTTTTAAAATCTACATTCCATCTTCCAGTAAGTACATTTGCAGTTTCATCCCCTATTCTAAAACTGATTCATTTATTCAATAAAGATTTATTGGATGAATAGAGATGTAGGAAATACAACCAATATTTATGGAATCAATGAATTGGTAAATTAACCCTAGTAACTGGGAATTCCTGCAAGGAGGCTTTTCTTTGCTAAGTTTCTGCTCAGACAGAACACAGGTGCTTTTTTTTTATTTGTGGAGATGTGAGCAGACAGCTGTGAACAAAAGAATCGAGGGTCAGAAATAAACCCACACCTATATGGTCAATTAATCTATGACAAAGGAGGCAAGAATATACAATGGGGAAGAGAGTCTTTTCAGTAAATGGTGCTAGAAAAATTTAACAGCTACATGCTAAAGCATGAAACTAGACCATTTTCTTACACCATACACAAAAATATCCTCAGAATGAATTAAAGACATAAATGAGAGACTTGAAACCACTAAACTCCTAAAAGTAAACATAGGCAGTAATCTCTTGGACACCGCCCTTAGCAACGTATTTATGGACAGGTCTCCTCAGGCAAGGGAAATAAAAGCAAAAATAAACCATTGGGACTACAACAAAATAAAAAGCTTTTACACAGCAAAGGAAACCATCAATAAAACAAAAAGGCAACCTAACGAATAGGAGAAGATATCTGAAAATGAGATGTCTAACGAGGAGTTAATAACCAAAATATGGGAAGCCTGCCTATCCCTCTCCCACTCCCCCCTGCTTGTGTTCCCTCTCTCGCTGTGTCTCTATCAACTCAATAAAAAAATCTTAAAAAAAAAATTTTTTTTATGTAACTCAACACCAAAAACACAAATAATCCAGTTAAAAATGGGGAGAGGACCCAAATATACACTTTTCCAAAGAAGACATACACACTGCTGACAGATGCTCAACATCACTAATCATCAAAGAAACATAAATCAAAACCACAATATCAGCTCACACCAGTCAGAATGCCTAGTATCAAAAAGATAAGGATGGGGCGCCTGGGTGGCTCAGTCTGTTGGGCATCTGCCTTCAGCTCAGGTTATGATCCTGGGA